TGCACGAACGCCTGTAGCTACGCAGATTTGTACTTAACGTCGTTCAGCTTTTGAACATTAATATTAGTGTAAGACTGCACTGTTTAATTATTAAATGTAATTAATTCTATTATATGGTGATTACTGTATTTTGGGATGTTACAATATATATTGACACATTTTCTACATATTTTTGTATTATCTAATTTATTTTTTTCGTTCTTATATCCAATCATTAAAGTTATGGTACCACAACTAGTTTTATTTTAAGATGAAATGTTATGTTTTTTTTATATATGTATTGAATGATAAAATTGATTGTTTTTAATTTTGTTCAAGGAATTAAATTAGTAGTTCCCTGTTAACATCTAATATATTGTGTGTTCAATGCTAAAAATATGATAAATGATCTCTAATAAAAGAAGTCATTATAATTATTATTTCTTAATTATTGCATGTGTTATTAAAATTAACTTATATGATCTATTATTATTATATAATAATTTAAGCTTATGTTATGAATGCACAATTCTGTTTTTATATACTATTATTTTTAAAAAAAATACTTAATTATAATGACTATTGGAAATGTAATAATTCTTATAATTATTTATTATTTTTCTTTATGTATTAAACTTTTACAAAGTAATTTTTACCTTTTACAATTTTACTTTTAACTTCTGATTCTTGGTCATGGAAATATATCATCACATACAATTTATTTAAGACAACTACCAAGATTAATGATCTTTAATACAAAGACAATCGCCTAAACAAAACAAAAGTATAAGAATGAAAAATCTACAAAACAAAATTATATGAATCAAGGCCTAATAATATATATTATGTAACGTCCATTTAAATAGTATAAACACTAAAACAAAATTAATAAAATAACACACTTCAACTTAAGAAATATATAAAATACACTTATCCAATATAATTATAAGTCTATTCCATATTTACAATGTTAAAGAACAACAACATAAATATTTACATAATAACTCTCAAAATATAACTATACTAAACTAACTAATATACTCAAGTTGTACATTTGTATCATCGCCTCCCAAAGCCTGCTCCACATAACCATTTCATCCTCTGCTCACACCCAATCAGGTGATCATTGCAAAAAAAAAACCAAACATACACAAAAAACAAACAACAAACACACAAATGGTAAGCTAATGTTAAAAGGAACAAACACATAATATTATAATTCATCATACATCAAATTTCATACAAAGTTAAACAAACATCTTAAGCATACCATAAACCTAAACTTGACCATTCAAATCCAAAGTATGAATGTCGAGCTATGTGGGTCATGTACTTGTGGTGTCTTTACTACTCTACAAAGTCATTCACTACTCACGTCGAATTTGAGGTCGACATCATATCGGAAGACGTTAAATTGACGTCGAACATAAAACAATTGGACGTTCACACTAAAGCAAATTTACGTCGAATTTTATTAATATTCAACGTTAATCAATTTTTTTTAATTAATTGTAATCTTTTTTTACAATTCTACTAGACTTGAAAAGTAGAAAAATGATAAATATCAGATTTTGGTATTTTATAAAGCATGAACTATGAACGTGTAGTGTAGTATCAACAACAAGCAACAATAACAAACAACAAACACACAAATGGTAAGCTAATGTTAAAAGGAACAAACACATAATATTATAATTCATCATACATCAAATTTCATACAAAGTTAAACAAACATCTTAAGCATACCATAAACCTAAACTTGACCATTCAAATCCAAAGTATGAATGTCGAGCTATGTGGGTCATGTACTTGTGGTGTCTTTACTACTCTACAAAGTCATTCACTACTCACGTCGAATTTGAGGTCGACATCATATCGGAAGACGTTAAATTGACGTCGAACATAAAACAATTGGACGTTCACACTAAAGCAAATTTACGTCGAATTTTATTAATATTCAACGTTAATCAATTTTTTTTAATTAATTGTAATCTTTTTTTACAATTCTACTAGACTTGAAAAGTAGAAAAATGATAAATATCAGATTTTGGTATTTTATAAAGCATGAACTATGAACGTGTAGTGTAGTATCAACAACAAGCAACAATAACAAACAACAAACAAGTTCAATCAAAAACAACAACAAATAGGTTCAACCAAACAACAACAAACAAGTTCAATAAATAAGTTTTTCAAAACGAAAACGGAAACTAGCCTTCAAAAGGTGGGTTCGTCGAAATAAAGTGTTGTCACCAGTGAGAGAGAAAGCAGAATGCGTCTATGAAGAACAAGAACACAAAAATAATCCGTCAAAACAAACGAAAATCATACCTAAAGTAGTTAATTAACATGTATTTGTAACAAATGAAAGAAAGATTACATGTGATGGTCGTCAAATAACAAATGAATGAGTTTTCAAGTTCCCGCTCAAATTTTTATTGAATTCACTAAGCTTTTAATGTTTAACGTTGGGGCATTCGACGTTTTATATCCTTTTGACGTTTAATTCTAGAGAATTCGACATCATACGTAAATACATTTTCACCTTCGCGCCAAACATTTCGCAAAATTTACCCAATATAACAAATTGACGTCAAATTACAATTCTAAACGACGTCTAATAATTGCATTTATTTACAAAAATGTCACAGGTCATTTTTAACATTGACTATTCAGTGGTTGGACGTTGAACATGTGACGTTATACTCTGTTTTTGCACTAGTGATTGCCAATGGGTTTCATCTTACCACACTCATAAGGTTAGTCCGTTCCGCGTCTTAGGATATAATGGAGCACGTAGATTAGGACCTCGTGCTACTCTTACCACATGCATTGCTCCTCTCTAATTGAGAATGACTATTCATTAGAGTGTCAGGATAACCCTCACGAACTTTGTACATTCATACACAACTTGAAATAATCACTAGAAGTTTTCCTTAGAAACTCTTATTCAATCATACATTGATATAGACACTAACATCATTAGTAAACTCTAATAACATTCATAAAATATACTAAACATGTCATAAAGTACCAATCAACCTTAAAATAAACCACAGAAGCAAAAGAATGAAACAACAAAGAGAGAATGCCATAAACACTAGCGTTGAGTGGCACATCCTTGCTGTTAAGGCCATTCTTTGCGCAAACCTAGCACGTGAGCGCCTTCCACCTGCAGTTGAGTGCTAAAGCTCTCGACTCTCTAGCGCTCAGGATCCGCTGACTGTCGTTAAGCGCCACACTAGAAGAGTGAAAACCTCTACTTTTAGCCCTAGTTGCCTCCAATACCTCTCTTAATGATTAAAATGGTATCCTAGACATTGGGAATGATTTAAAAACAAGTTTATAGCTTAAATTAGATATACTAAACCAACTTGACTACTCCAAATTGCCTAAACTCACTTCCACACTTTTTAATGCATAAATTAACAACCTAAAGGTCTAAACTAGTAAGAAATGATCCAACAACAGACCTCAAACATTTACTTCAACTCAAACTTACTATTTTAGAATCTCACTAATCAAAATCACTAAAATGAACTAAAAACCATACAAAACACACCATATTAACTACCAACCAATTCTACATCAGATTTCCACTAACTCAAAGCTCAAAAATTTTTTAAATGACCCTAAAACAAACACAAAAACTCAGTTCCACCCATTCGACCTTTACTTCAAAATCTCACCTATCAACATCCCATCTTAAGGTCCAAAACTACCTATAACTCAGCTTATTATCTACTTCCCATTACAACATCAACTTCTTATCATTTTTATACATCCTAACAGCAACATTTGCAAGTTCATTCCATTCCCAAATCAAAATTATGCATCAATTAATTAAGCTTACTCAATAAAACACGATTAACACCGATCATTGCAATTATAACCAAATTAACATACAATAACTTTAAATACTAACAACCACCATTTCATGGTTTATAATTCAAATTAAAAACAACCATTTGCTTCCCTTACCTGGTTGAGAAAACTATCACGACTTTATACATCATACTATCTCTGCCTCAACTCAAAAAGTTCTAAAAACACCTACAAACTATATAATCTTGATCAGAGTAAGTCTTGAGAACCTTTGATCAACAATGAGTTAGAAAAGAAGATCAAATGACACATACGAAAAAACTTATATGCATGTGCCTTAAACTAAGGCTTAAAGAAAAATTAGTAAAAACTTACTTGTTTTATAAGAAAAATCGAAAGGTAGAAAATGAAAAACTCACTATTGTGATCTCTTAACATATCTTGATCATCAAACACATGTATTAAAAATAAAAAATCTTAGAAAAGAAGGAAAGAAAACTCTGAGAATGATTTTTAGAAAAGATAGTGCATGTTAAAATAATAAAACATGTTTATGAAATTCTATCTATATTAATTAATTATTTTAATATTAAAATATTGGGTCTCATTACTTTAAAATATATATCCACTTTAATATTCTACTTTCTAATTTCTTATATATTATATAAATAAAAAACCAAAATTTAAAAAATATAGAATTCAAAACTAAAATTAACTATGAAGTTTTTTTTTTACAAATAATAGTTTAAAACGAAAACACGAACACTTTTCTCTGTTTTGATAACATTTAAAAGAAAAAAAAAAGAAGTAGACGAGAAATAATGTCAATTGTTTTTTAATCATGATAATGGTAATTGTTTGATTGAATAAAATTCGGATAGAAAATAGAATAAATTTATTATTATTTTTATTATATTATTATTTTCTTTCTATGCAATCAAACAATTTTACTTAATATTTTATAGTTGGACCTATTTTATTTATTTTTTCATCTATTTTAGTTCTTTCTTTACAGCCAAACCTACCCTTAAAATAATTATTAAACCCTTGGTTTCTTAAAACAACATTTGATCCTTGATAATCAATAAAACTTTATTGAATAACACTAGATTCAGTCAAAAGGCCACACAAATAATAAAAAACGTTAATAATAATGTAATAAGAAGAAAAATTAACAAAATATAAAATAAACGATAGTAATAAAATAAAATCCTTGAATTGCAGAATCCGAATCAAACACGAAGATGAATGCAGATGCAACTTTCGCACCGTTCACTTTCTAAAATCCATTAATATTTTCTCTCATTTTCTCACACTTTCTCTCTGAACTTTCTTCAATGGCAGTTGCAGCTTTCAAATCCTCTTCGCGAAGAGGAACCCAATCCTCTGCTCCTTCCAACGCCTCTTCTTCCTCTGGCAGATCCTCCACTAGAGCTCCCAACCCCACTCGCAGGTCGAGGAGCGTGAGCGCGTTCGCTAGGGGTAGTTCGGCCATTTCCACTGAGTTCCTCAACAAGAGGGATAATCCTCTTTTCGACGAAACGCAGTCCGCGAAAACTGTTCTAGAAACTTCCACGGCGCGTGGAGCGGCGCGAAGTGCCGAACCCGCGCGCAGGGAATCAGGTCGGGCTCTTTCCAGAGCAGAATCAGGTCGACGGACGCGGTCAGCTTCGCAGTGCCCGGTTTCAAGGCGGTATCTGAGCTATTCTACTTCTGAGGTGCGTTGAACTGGTCTCTAATTACAATTAAAAGTGTTAATTGATTTAGGACTTTGCAATTGAAGTATAATTATTAATTATCAATTTTTCATATGATTTATTTATTTTATTTTGTTTAGTCCAAAAATGCATTCATTCGAGTTCCTAAATAATGATTTAATTATAATATAACAAATAAATGTAGGTAAAGTTGAAGATTAAACTAGGAGTGTGAATTTTTTAAAATAGATTATTAAACATCTTTTTTTTTTTCATGGACATGAGGCTGGTAAGTAAAGTTTAAGCGAGTAATGTGTTTATTTTAAAATAGAGAATTGAAAATACAAATTGAGTAAAGGGACTAAAATTGTATTGAGATTTGATTGTTTAAAACAAAAAATGTAATATAGTGTAAATTGAGGAATGAAAGTTTTATTTGTTTGTTTGTGTGTGTGTCTATAATATCATTATGTTTTTGGAACCCCAAATTTGTGTTGAGAAATTTGGGGGCTCGGAACTACATCTGTCAGATAACAACTGGTGTAAGAGGTAAAATTAGTTTCTTAAATAAGTGCTGTTGTAGCTTTTCAATGTAGTATTGATTACTGTTTGTTTTTTTTTGTATTTATATCTCTAACCATATTGATGATGCAGATCAAAAACTAAAATGAATTAATATGATAAGGTTAACTTTGGAATGGGGGGCATTGAAGGAAAGGTTTACGTGAAATAGAACTTATTTGCACATTTGTTGTTTTTTTGTGTAGAGCGAGGTTGAATGTAAAGAAGGGAATGATTTGAAGTTAGTGGGGAGTAATAGAAAAGGTGATTTGGTGAGAAGAAGTGAGAATGGTGTGACTGATCAAGTGAAGGATTTGCACACATGGTCTAGTCGGCATTCATCTGTTGAGGTCTCAGATTGTTTTGCTGTCACTCTGGTTAGTTCCTTCCATTGCTGGTGTGTTTTGTAGCGTATTGGAAACATCAAGTCAGGAAAATTTTACTTATTTTTCAATGGTCATTTTGTTTGTTTGTAGTCTGGTTTGCAAACTCAAACCTGTGATGACGAAGCATCAACAGCAAGTTCTGGATTTGGTTCTGATGAGAAAACTATAAAGGCAGTTTTTGAACAGATGAAGGTGAGGTAACGAAGCGTGCAATGTATTTTTGGATTGATTGAACCGTCAAGTTGATCCTTCAAAGTTACTAGCTTGCACAGTAGTTCCCTAGATCTTTTGTCTCTAGGGCCTACTTGCTTAATAAAATCATTTGAGGACTGTTATGGTATCGTTCTAGTTCTTTGAAAAACTGGTTTGGAAATAAAAAATTTCAGGACATGTGGTGATATATGTAACTTTGGTCTAATAATTCAGAGGTTTACTCTTCAAATATGGTGAAATTGAAAGGAGCCAAGCAGAATCGATTGCAGTTTTTCACCCTTTGTTGCCTCTGTTTTTGTTCCCTTACAACGTAGAACCAACTCTTTTGTTTATAAATTATAATCCATTCTATCCCAGTGGATATGAACAATATTATAGTGGGTTTATTTCGTTCCATTCCTCCTACCATTAAAAATCAATACAAAGTCATTCATAGTTTTTTGTCATGTGTGCTTAAAAACTTGATGCCACAGTTCACTGATGTAGAGTTTGTTTCCCACGAATAGGAAATTTCAATCCATTTCAATCCATGAGAAATTATTCCTCCTAGGGAGAAACTTTAATGCTTATATGATATAAAGACTGCATAAAATGAATAATTGTTCTTGATGACAATTAGATAACTTTTGGTACATTTGGGTCTTGATTTCTGTAGTCAGTACAAGGAGATCTGCCGGAAGCCAGTGATATATATGAAACAGTTCGTTCTGAAGTGAGGCGTGCTATTTCTGAGATTCAGATTGAACTTGAAAGTGTATGTTTCATAAACTCCTATATTTCTCATTGTTGGTTTTAAGTCAACTGCCACTGTTTGAATTGATTTAGCTTAGCGTGATTAATACAATATGTCACTATTCATGAGTATGTGTTTGTGTGTCTCATACTAATAATTACAATTGTATATCATTAACATTTTAAAGCTGTGAAAGGAAAAGGTTGGGTTCGACAGCTACTAGCCTTAAGTAATTGCTAGCCAAGAAGCAGGGCATGGCAGTTTATTCTCTGGAAATAAATCATAAATTGCCCCTGACGAAAAAATTGAGGACAACCTCTTCTAGTTTCACTGCATTTTCAAAGTTGAAAGTTCAACTCGTCCAGGAACACATGACATTTTACATGACTTTTCTCAATTGATACATTTCTTGTGATTTTCATTTATATTTCTAGGGAAATGCTTACTAACATCATTTCTTTCTTTATAGTTTGTGCTCAAAATTTCTGGTTGCCCATCACAACACAACTCACAAAGTCGGAGTGTTATTTATTGTTGATATAATTGTAAAAGGAAGTATTATGCTATGTTCTAACTTGTTTCTAACTCTGGGTTTTAGGCTATCCAAAAGAGAAATGTTACTGCCATCTCTGTTAGTAATGTGGCTGATATTCCTCCTGACTTGGTAAACCCTGGTGCAATAGAATTGGTTTTGGAGATTAGAAAAGAGTATGCCAAAAAGCATGAAGAGGTGATGTTCCATTCGATACTTTTAAATGGAGCCTGGTTAACTTTTTTTTCTTTGTTGGTGCTCATCTCATAGTTGAGCTTGAGGGTTGGTATCATTGTTGCCCAAGAACATGTTTTGTTTCTGAAGCTCTTTTGTGTTTTTATGTGGGAACTCTCAAATGAGCCACCAATTCCTTTCCTCTCTCAAGATCAAATTTCAGTCTTGCCCTTTGTTTAGAGTTTATATTGTGTATTAGGATTATAGTCTCGTCTATTTTTAGTTTCACTCTAAGCAGACCTTATCATACTTACAGTCCCAGCAGCGAGCTAGAAATCTTCGAGCAGAACTGGCCATTGAAGAGCACCGTGAGCGGGAACTGGATAGAATCTTGAGAGAAGTTCTTCCATCTCCCAAGACCCCTATTGTACAAAAATCTCGTACAGCAAGAAAAGTATGTTTTATTTTGGCATTTGTTTATTCTAATGCAACTTTTCAAACCTGTCATGCGTGATTCTTAAATTCTTTGCCCATTATAGCATGTGTTTTGTATTGTACATGGAGCTTATTTTATCATTATGAATGTAGAAAGGAAAGATTTGCCTAAATCATAAACCTTATTTGAAATATTTTAACTCATTAATCTCAGTGCTGTGGGATGAAGATGATGATAGTATAGCTGTTGCTATAGATATTTATGCAGTTGTGCTTTTTTTTCTGTGTATTTAATTCTGCTCCATTTCCATTTTAATGAACCAAAAACTTGGTCACAGTCGTCTAGCTTTGAAAGAAGGAGGATGTCAAAACGTCTTGCAGAAGATGCCAAAGCTTATTTTGATGAGTGTGTCTCGCTATCAACTTTTGATAGTTCTGACTTTTCATCCCAAGAGGATCCCTCACTCAATTTGGTTGGTCCACCTACTCCATCTGGCAGCCATGTATGTTTAACCGAGGCAAGTCCTAATGCTTCAGTTTCTACTTTCATTACATTCCTCAATGATTAAAAGGTCTCTCAAGATTACTTTCTCGCATAATTTTTTTCTAAATCCCTAATAAAGTTCTTAAATAATATATTTTTAATCTTATTCCATTATAATACTTGAAACCTTCGGTTATCTTGGTGTCTTAAAGGCATTAGTATGGAAATATTAAGTAATTAAAGGTGGGATACTATCATGCTTATTGATACTTGAAAATGGGGTCTAAAGTGTATGCATTCTCATTAGAGGCAAGTAATGTACACTGATCAACTATGTTGCTTGTTTGATGATCTATATTTTTAACTGTTTGCTTTTTGATATTGATATTAGACCTATAATAACTTCAAGGCTACTTAATTGTGTTCCGGTAAAATTTCTCTCAACCTGGTAGGAAGTGAAGAGCTGGGAATGAAAAACCTGACTTCTATGATGGTTCAGAATAATTTGGCTAAAGTATATTGCAAGTTTTAGTTATCACTCAAGAGTGAGAAACTGGAAGGGAGACAGAAGAAATTGATTAATAACAGTGGAAGATGCCTTTTGACTTTTATACATCTCTTGTCAAATGGCTTGTTAGGGTAGATCTTCTACAAAATTAAAACTTAATAATTGACGCCTATTGCAGGAATGCGTTAGAAAGTTAAAGTATCGCCTATTGAAGGAAACTTGTATAAACTCGTATATTCCCTACAGAGGATAGTAGTGTAACAAGGGTAGCCATATTGCTAGAGGTAAGGGGAACCAGAAAAGGAAGAAAAAAACTACAGTTCAAACCACTAAGAAAATTTGAGGTCAATGGTTTCACTATACATTATACATTTTGACATTGTTTGTTCAATAGGGAAAATGGTTGATTGTTGTTTTATAAGATTTTTCTTATGCAAGGGACAAGAAGGAAAATTGGGAATAACAAATGACAATGTTAAGATGTGTTTCTGTTAGGTTACTTTATGGGAGTACCCTAAATCTATATTCTACTCTTGCTTCAACAATCGAATAACAGAAAAAAATAAAGTATGTATGCATTATTGATTCAGTAAAGTATCGAAAATACAAGTATACTCTCCCTCAAGGAAGCCTACCTTCCTCCACTGGCAAATATGCCCAGTCTTTACCCAAAAGAAATAACCTAATCCAAAAGAAATAACCTAATTAATTAGAGTTACAGGAAGACCGATCGGTGTGACACTAATTAGAGAATGTTGAATGATTTTCAGTGCTGTGAAAAGGGCAAGAAAGTTGGACGAAGTTGCTAAAATGGATTTCATGGTTAACAATACCTTAAAATATTTGGTCTTTAACTAAGCTGCATGATGGCATATAAGCCATGCAACCAATCTCTCACCCAGTGGGATAATAACCTTCCAATTTTTTTGATTTTCTGTTGCATTAAGAAGACTGGAACNTGTGTGTGTCTATAATATCATTATGTTTTTGGAACCCCAAATTTGTGTTGAGAAATTTGGGGGCTCGGAACTACATCTGTCAGATAACAACTGGTGTAAGAGGTAAAATTAGTTTCTTAAATAAGTGCTGTTGTAGCTTTTCAATGTAGTATTGATTACTGTTTGTTTTTTTTTGTATTTATATCTCTAACCATATTGATGATGCAGATCAAAAACTAAAATGAATTAATATGATAAGGTTAACTTTGGAATGGGGGGCATTGAAGGAAAGGTTTACGTGAAATAGAACTTATTTGCACATTTGTTGTTTTTTTGTGTAGAGCGAGGTTGAATGTAAAGAAGGGAATGATTTGAAGTTAGTGGGGAGTAATAGAAAAGGTGATTTGGTGAGAAGAAGTGAGAATGGTGTGACTGATCAAGTGAAGGATTTGCACACATGGTCTAGTCGGCATTCATCTGTTGAGGTCTCAGATTGTTTTGCTGCCACTCTGGTTAGTTCCTTCCATTGCTGGTGTGTTTTGTAGCGTATTGGAAACATCAAGTCAGGAAAAATTTACTTATTTTTCAATGGTCATTTTGTTTGTTTGTAGTCTGGTTTGCAAACTCAAACCTGTGATGACGAAGCATCAACAGCAAGTTCTGGATTTGGTTCTGATGAGAAAACTATAAAGGCAGTTTTTGAACAGATGAAGGTGAGGTAACGAAGCGTGCAATGTATTTTTGGATTGATTGAACCGTCAAGTTGATCCTTCAAAGTTACTAGCTTGCACAGTAGTTCCCTAGATCTTTTGTCTCTAGGGCCTACTTGCTTAATAAAATCATTTGAGGACTGTTATGGTATCGTTCTAGTTCTTTGAAAAACTGGTTTGGAAATAAAAAATTTCAGGACATGTGGTGATATATGTAACTTTGGTCTAATAATTCAGAGGTTTACTCTTCAAATATGGTGAAATTGAAAGGAGCCAAGCAGAATCGATTGCAGTTTTTCACCCTTTGTTGCCTCTGTTTTTGTTCCCTTACAACGTAGAACCAACTCTTTTGTTTATAAATTATAATCCATTCTATCCCAGTGGATATGAACAATATTATAGTGGGTTTATTTCGTTCCATTCCTCCTACCATTAAAAATCAATACAAAGTCATTCATAGTTTTTTGTCATGTGTGCTTAAAAACTTGATGCCACAGTTCACTGATGTAGAGTTTGTTTCCCACGAATAGGAAATTTCAATCCATTTCAATCCATGAGAAATTATTCCTCCTAGGGAGAAACTTTAATGCTTATATGATATAAAGACTGCATAAAATGAATAATTGTTCTTGATGACAATTAGATAACTTTTGGTACATTTGGGTCTTGATTTCTGTAGTCAGTACAAGGAGATCTGCCGGAAGCCAGTGATATATATGAAACAGTTCGTTCTGAAGTGAGGCGTGCTATTTCTGAGATTCAGATTGAACTTGAAAGTGTATGTTTCATAAACTCCTATATTTCTCATTGTTGGTTTTAAGTCAACTGCCACTGTTTGAATTGATTTAGCTTAGCGTGATTAATACAATATGTCACTATTCATGAGTATGTGTTTGTGTGTCTCATACTAATAATTACAATTGTATATCATTAACATTTTAAAGCTGTGAAAGGAAAAGGTTGGGTTCGACAGCTACTAGCCTTAAGTAATTGCTAGCCAAGAAGCAGGGCATGGCAGTTTATTCTCTGGAAATAAATCATAAATTGCCCCTGACGAAAAAATTGAGGACAACCTCTTCTAGTTTCACTGCATTTTCAAAGTTGAAAGTTCAACTCGTCCAGGAACACATGACATTTTACATGACTTTTCTCAATTGATACATTTCTTGTGATTTTCATTTATATTTCTAGGGAAATGCTTACTAACATCATTTCTTTCTTTATAGTTTGTGCTCAAAATTTCTGGTTGCCCATCACAACACAACTCACAAAGTCGGAGTGTTATTTATTGTTGATATAATTGTAAAAGGAAGTATTATGCTATGTTCTAACTTGTTTCTAACTCTGGGTTTTAGGCTATCCAAAAGAGAAATGTTACTGCCATCTCTGTTAGTAATGTGGCTGATATTCCTCCTGACTTGGTAAACCCTGGTGCAATAGAATTGGTTTTGGAGATTAGAAAAGAGTATGCCAAAAAGCATGAAGAGGTGATGTTCCATTCGATACTTTTAAATGGAGCCTGGTTAACTTTTTTTTCTTTGTTGGTGCTCATCTCATAGTTGAGCTTGAGGGTTGGTATCATTGTTGCCCAAGAACATGTTTTGTTTCTGAAGCTCTTTTGTGTTTTTATGTGGGAACTCTCAAATGAGCCACCAATTCCTTTCCTCTCTCAAGATCAAATTTCAGTCTTGCCCTTTGTTTAGAGTTTATATTGTGTATTAGGATTATAGTCTCGTCTATTTTTAGTTTCACTCTAAGCAGACCTTATCATACTTACAGTCCCAGCAGCGAGCTAGAAATCTTCGAGCAGAACTGGCCATTGAAGAGCACCGTGAGCGGGAACTGGATAGAATCTTGAGAGAAGTTCTTCCATCTCCCAAGACCCCTATTGTACAAAAATCTCGTACAGCAAGAAAAGTATGTTTTATTTTGGCATTTGTTTATTCTAATGCAACTTTTCAAACCTGTCATGCGTGATTCTTAAATTCTTTGCCCATTATAGCATGTGTTTTGTATTGTACATGGAGCTTATTTTATCATTATGAATGTAGAAAGGAAAGATTTGCCTAAATCATAAACCTTATTTGAAATATTTTAACTCATTAATCTCAGTGCTGTGGGATGAAGATGATGATAGTATAGCTGTTGCTATAGATATTTATGCAGTTGTGCTTTTTTTTCTGTGTATTTAATTCTGCTCCATTTCCATTTTAATGAACCAAAAACTTGGTCACAGTCGTCTAGCTTTGAAAGAAGGAGGATGTCAAAACGTCTTGCAGAAGATGCCAAAGCTTATTTTGATGAGTGTGTCTCGCTATCAACTTTTGATAGTTCTGACTTTTCATCCCAAGAGGATCCCTCACTCAATTTGGTTGGTCCACCTACTCCATCTGGCAGCCATGTATGTTTAACCGAGGCAAGTCCTAATGCTTCAGTTTCTACTTTCATTACATTCCTCAATGATTAAAAGGTCTCTCAAGATTACTTTCTCGCATAATTTTTTTCTAAATCCCTAATAAAGTTCTTAAATAATATATTTTTAATCTTATTCCATTATAATACTTGAAACCTTCGGTTATCTTGGTGTCTTAAAGGCATTAGTATGGAAATATTAAGTAATTAAAGGTGGGATACTATCATGCTTATTGACACCTGAAAATGGGGTCTAAAGTGTATGCATTCTCATTAGAGGCAAGTAATGTACACTGATCAACTATGTTGCTTGTTTGATGATCTATATTTTTAACTGTTTGCTTTTTGATATTGATATTAGACCTATAATAACTTCAAGGCTACTTAATTGTGTTCCGGTAAAATTTCTCTCAACCTGGTAGGAAGTGAAGAGCTGGGAATGAAAAACCTGACTTCTATGATGGTTCAGAATAATTTGGCTAAAGTATATTGCAAGTTTTAGTTATCACTCAAGAGTGAGAAACTGGAAGGGAGACAGAAGAAATTGATTAATAACAGTGGAAGATGCCTTTTGACTTTTATACATCTCTTGTCAAATGGCTTGTTAGGGTAGATCTTCTACAAAATTAAAACTTAATAATTGACGCCTATTGCAGGAATGCGTTAGAAAGTTAAAGTATCGCCTATTGAAGGAAACTTGTATAAACTCGTATATTCCCTACAGAGGATAGTAGTGTAACAAGGGTAGCCATATTGCTAGAGGTAAGGGGAACCAGAAAAGGAAGAAAAAAACTACAGTTCAAACCACTAAGAAAATTTGAGGTCAATGGTTTCACTATACATTATACATTTTGACATTGTTTGTTCAATAGGGAAAATGGTTGATTGTTGTTTTATAAGATTTTTCTTATGCAAGGGACAAGAAGGAAAATTGGGAATAACAAATGACAATGTTAAGATGTGTTTCTGTTAGGTTACTTTATGGGAGTACCCTAAATCTATATTCTACTCTTGCTTCAACAATCGAATAACAGAAAAAAATAAAGTATGTATGCATTATTGATTCAGTAAAGTATCGAAAATACAAGTATACTCTCCCTCAAGGAAGCCTACCTTCCTCCACTGGCAAATATGCCCAGTCTTTACCCAAAAGAAATAACCTAATCCAAAAGAAATAACCTAATTAATTAGAGTTACAGGAAGACCGATCGGTGTGACACTAATTAGAGAATGTTGAATGATTTTCAGTGCTGTGAAAAGGGCAAGAAAGTTGGACGAAGTTGCTAAAATGGATTTCATGGTTAACAATACCTTAAAATATTTGGTCTTTAACTAAGCTGCATGATGGCATATAAGCCATGCAACCAATCTCTCACCCAGTGGGATAATAACCTTCCAATTTTTTTGATTTTCTGTTGCATTAAGAAGACTGGAACCAATAACAACATAACTTCTATGTTGGTTCAAAATAATTGGCAATAAGGAAGTTGCAAGTTATAGTCATTTGCCTATGCTCTGAGAATAGGAACCAAAAGGCAGGAGGAAAATTGATTGTAGGAGTGGAAAAGACGCCTTTTACTAGCTTACTATAATAACTCTTCTCAAATGTGCTTGTTAGGGAATATCTTTCTACAAAAATTGCTAAGAGGAATGTTTTATAATCTATGGAGTGATCTTATTTCAACTTTCAATGATGACATAGTCATGTGCTAATAATGATTCCAATTCCTTATTTTTCCGCTCCATTGAATGTAAAAGGTTTTATGATAAGAAAAGCCTCGAAAAATGTGTTGGGTGAAGTTAACCTGTTTTTGAATTGATTGAAGTTGTTACAAATTCTGTCTTGGTCTAGTACACTCCTAAGGGAAATCATGAATTTTGTTGCATCGTTTTCACAGGAATCAGGCACTCGAGGACAATCGATGAATATCCATTATGGTATTTCACAATCTCCTGCCAACAATGATTCTGTGGGAGCTTTTCATGGTCAAGTCAGTTCAACCTCTGACATCACAGAAACTGGTTCCAAACCCTGCTTTTCCTTTGCACAGAAACCATCCGAAACCTCTGCAATTCAACAAGACATTCAACAATACATAAAAAAGTTCGAAAAAAATGTGTTGAAGTCTTCAACAGTGAGATCAAATTATTGCGAACCTCTTGAGTATAGTTTTCAGTCATCAACTGAGAGCTTGTTGATTGATAGGGTTCTTTTAAAAAGTAGAATTGATTCTGGTAATTTGTTACTATGTGGTGGTGGTAATAAATTGTTGTCAAAATTTTACGGGAGAGGGATTTGACTTGGAGGGCATAGTTCAAGCTAACTCTTTTATATGCCTTTTAATTTTGATCTTATCATTTACACATGTATAAAATCTAAAGGTACAAGTGTTTATCTTTTCATGTACAAGTACAAATGTTTGAGCAATGCATTCTTTTATAACATTTTCACCATTGATTAAGATTCATTAAATGCTAATATGAGAACCAAAAATATAAATTTTAGCAAGTTTTAATTAATCCAATGTCTTGAGTGTTTCTAAGTAAGATATGGATTGATAAAATGAGTGATTACTCGATTTTTCTTGTGTTCAACTAGTTAAAAACTAATTTGGATTGTATTGTACTCCTTTTTAGAATATATTATAAATTAAGTTACAATCTTATCCAACTCTTGCAAGCTTGTGAATTGGGGTGAGTTAATTCTTTATAATTTGAAAAATATGAAGTTATGAAATGGCTATTCATGTGTTGACCTACTTAACAAATAAAAATATCTAAAAAAATCATAACCCTTCATTAGTTTATCAAAACATTCAGATATAACTTCAATTTAAATCAAATACAACTATCAATGTTCTTAAAAAAAGCCGAAGTTAGAAATATTGTAGTTCATCAAATCCAATAAAATCTTAATAGTAAGTCTGGGCGAGTTATAAAAAAGGGTTAATAAGTGAAAATATATCATCATTTTTAAAGGACTAAATAAATCAATTCAATGAATTAAACTTAATTTGTGATCTCTTTTTTATTCTCCTTACCCCTTTGTCCATGTTAATATAATATGATTATTGGCATCATGTTTTCTCATGGACAAAATTTTAAACACTAATTTTTTTAATATATATATATATATATATATATATATATATACGGAGTTTGCTAATTTACGTAAGGAGTTTTTTTAATTGGTATATTTTAGGAAAGTGTATCTAAGTTTTAAGTTACAAAAAAGTTCCTATTAAAAAAATCAACTTTAAATTCAAGGATATTTTAATAATTTTAAAATTTAATTTAAAATAAAAAAAATAAAAAGTAGTTTTTTATCATCTTGATTGGTCCACAAAGTTATTACCTTTTTATTATATATTTTTTTAAAAGGTAGTTGTTTTTTAAAATAAAAAATAAAATATTTTTGTGATTTTTTCAATTGGAACTAAGGGATGATAGAGAAAAGGTTGAAGTGAGAGATGAAAGAGAAATGATTGAGAGGAATGAAGGAGGTGACCAACGGTTTGAGGTTTAGATGAGTTTTGATGTAAAAACTGCTTTTATGTAATAATAAGTATACGTGGAATTTACTCACAACTTATAATCAAATTAAATTTATATTTAATTTTATTAATGATATTATTTAAGATTTGTCGATTAGTTTAGATATTATTTTGATTTTCATATTTATATTGGATTAAAATGAATAAAGATGGTAACATGGAGAATGTTAAATCAGATAAGCTAACAATTAATGGACTGAAAAGAAAAAGTGAACAATGAGTGAACTTAGTTATGTGAGGGTACCAATAAACTCTTTTAAGTCATTTTGTGATTGATGTGGTAAGTCATGGAAATTTGGTTTATTGGTATATAATAACTTAAAATTTAGAAAAGTAATGTTAGAGTTCTAATTATGTCATTGAGATACTAGCGTGTATTCAGTTTGAATTTTTAATTATTTTTTATCTCGATACTCATATATAGTTTTGGTGTTATCTTAATTTATTGTTTTGCTATGGGGTAATAACTATATTTATTTTTGAAGTTGTTAAATGACGTGAAAAAAAATTATTAGTGATACTTGATGCATATATATTTATTATATATATCCCTAAAATATACGGCATGCATATATAATAAGGACGCCATTGAGTTATAATAATAGAAAGCAGTTGGAAACATATAACTGAATATTGAGAATTACAGTCATCCTTAAAATACTATGAAGTCAAAGCTTGAGGTACTAGAGTTTTCCAAAATGCCAAGGGTTTTATATATTAAAGTTTTTTCAAAACACATAAGTTTAAATAAGGAGATCCTAATGAAACTAGGATTCAATGTCATCTTCCTCTAATGCTTGCTTCAGGGGCACTTCCTCGACATTTGCTCCCATCCAAGTGGATGATCATCGCAAGAGGAATCATACACAAACATAGCACAAACACAAACAAGCGGGGGTGAACTAATTATATAAAAAGCATACAATATGACAATATGTGCATGCAAGAGTTAACTCCAATCAAGCAAGATAAACACGCATCCTAAAACTGGTATGTTCTAGACTTGACATCGTCAGGACACTTTAGAAGATAGTCGAGCTATGGCAGGGTCTTTTTTTTTTTTTTTTTGTTTTTTATTGCACTCGTGGTGGCTTATGAAACTTGGGTTCCCTCACCCCCACCCACCCCCCCACCCCCCCCCACCAACCCCCCCCACCCCCACCACCCCCATAACAACACTCACGAGGTTAGCCGTTTGGGCCGTGAGGCATATTGGAAGCCCCCAGGACTAAGGACTCCTACTACTCCTCACTAAATGGTTCAATCCTTTCTACTGGAGAAGAAAGACCATTGGAGTCAGGATGACCCAAGAATGAGCTCCCCCCCCCTTTCCCCCCCACCCCCATTACTATCATTCTAAACACATAAGAAATCTCACCAGAGATTCTACAAAGATGGAACTGGTTTACACTTGGATTTTCATCTTTCCACCACTTTATAAACCATAAACTTTTTGCTACAATCCACATACTTGTTGTGAATATCACAAGCAATTTACTATAGTGCAAAAGAATGTTCACCAAAAACCAAAGAGCCCACTAATCAAACGCAACACAAGAGAAAATTTAGAGAACCAAACCCACAAACTCGTTGCACAGCGCACCACACTCGCAAGCGACACTGCGCTTTAGATAGCGCACCCACCCAGCTGGCCCTTGACAAATTAAGTCTGGACTAAGGAAAGGATTGGGTCCGCGCCTAGCGAACCAGGTCGCTATGCGAGGGACGCACAGGCAGAGACAACCCCCCTTAAAAATCTCGCTATGCTCCCACTCGCTTTCGAATTAAATGGGCAGTGGTTCAAACAGACCACCCACTGTCGCATACCGACAAAATTCGCCATGTGAATCCACAAACAGAGAGCAACACCCTCTGGTCATTCGCAAAACGCACCAGCTCGCACAACGAATGACTCAGACAGTGAGCACCCTCTACAAGGTCTCGTAATGCGAGACAGCTCGCACAACGACTCTGCGTCATCTACAGAACGCAAATTTGGAGAATCACACACTCACACCAGCCCTTACCATTTCTAGGCCTCTTGGCCAACTTCTAAGACCTCCAATTCGTGTATTAAGCTCAATTACACATGCCTAGATGATCCTAACCCCCCATTACTAATCTAAACTGATTAAGATCAAGTTTTATCTTTTAAAACATCAACTCCTACAACTTACAGACCAAATTTCAATTCAATCCTTTTGCACTTGTTTTGACCAGTTTGATGGACTCTAACAAATCACAAAATAACCTCGCTATTATTGTCCCAACAGACTACAAGAGCTCTATACCCTTAACCCTCAAATTCACTATCCCACTTCCTCCAAAATAACTTAAACCATTTCCAATTCATTATGCTTTCTTTCTAAACAATGTTGTAACAGACTTCACACACCGAATCGCATCCCAACTGATCCCTTACAGTAAATTAAATCATACACTCATTTCATTAACATCACACACACTTATAGTGTTCAGCACATCAATACAAGTATGTAATACGCAAACATAACTCAAAAACGAAACATACAACTCCAAACAACATACACATTTATAAAACAAATTTAAAACAAACAACTAGCTCCCCTTACCTTGGTGGTTATAAGCACAGTACTGATCAGAACAGTAATCAAGACCCCAACAGTGCCTTACACAGCCAGCACACAACAAGACCCTACAATTCACTAAAGTGGAGACAGAAACAACTCTTAGAGCTATAGTAGGCAAAGAATAACACAAAAAAAAACCAAAAGGGGGAATTACTGGTACATGCAACTAGCAAAGGTGCATGCCTAGGTTCACGAGATGGAAAGAACAGAAAAGAATGACTACCATCCAAAACGGAAAAAACTAATCGGATGGAGAAAGCTATCAACTCCGGTGAACGAAAGAAACCAACTAATTAGAGGACAATGCAACGGTTGAAATTTATGTAAGGGTAGAGAGAAGACAGAGCAAGAAGAAGAAGAACAAAGGTTAGAGAGAGAAAGAAAGGTTGGCTAATGAACTCAGAGTTGAAAAAGAAAATCCCTTCTAAGGTCATGATGTCCTTAGTTTTACGGGCCTGACTGCCTCAACATAAGGCCCAATGGCCCTATATTTTTAAGGCCCTTACAAGAAGCTTTTGGTGAAATATTGAGACAATCTCATGGATTAATTTTTAGAAATAGTGATAAAATGTTTTATAAAAATATAAGTGACTAAAATCTTATATTGATCCTTTAATTTTTATAAAAATTCAATTAAATATATAATTTCAATTTAGTTTTTTAAAATATCTAATTAGGTCTTTTATTTTAGATTGTTTAACTATAATAAAATTAATATTAAGTGTTATTTTTTATAATGACAAATAGTATTATTAATATTATTATTATTTTAATTATAAATTAAATTATTAGAATAGCTAAAAAAATTAAACTTCAATAATATTAAGTCTTTTTTAATTTTATGACATTATAATATTGTATTGCTGTTATTCAATGTTAATATATTTATTAAAAGAAAATTATATTATTTAACTATTATTTGGACTAAATTTCCTTAGTACACGTGAAAAATGTTTTGAAATATATATAAAAAAGAGTATTAAGATACTGTAGTAACTTGTGACTGATTATAAGGTACAGTTTATTTGTAGAAGATGTTCAAAATTAATTATGAATGGAGATGTACAATTTATTAATTAGGAATCTGACTTATAAGCCTAGCATTCAAAGAATACTCTTTTTTGCATACGAAATTTTATACATGATTTATCTCTTAGAATATTATTAGTCACGAAGGCAAATAATTTAACATATTACTAATTATTCTGTTTTTAATATCTTAATTTGACTATCAAAT